TTGCACAAGGTGTGGATGAAGTAGGAGCCCATGTCCGGGTTTTTGCTTGGGACATCCCCTGGTCAGGAGGATGAATTCGTCATTTTGGCGTAATGCACTTGACGTTATGTAATTGGTGTAATGTGCTTTGTTTGTTCTTACTGACCTTCGTAGCGGGCCTGAGAGACGAGAATGTCGGGGTAGATTGGCAGGTAATACTCGCCATGGTCATGGTCGTCGTCGTCCTCGTCGAGGCCGGCTTCCTCGTGCGTGTCGTACGACTCGCGCCTTTGATCACCGTGCTGCCACTCTCCCTTCGGTCCGACGTCGTGACGCATTCCACTGGATGTCTGGATGGAGGGAACGCATGGATGAGCATGGGAACTCGCGGAGGAGCATGGGAGCGCTGGTAAGGGCGGCTGGCACTCACCTGAATGACGAACAGCTTGGGTTTCCCGTGTAGGGCTTCGCATTCGTAGAATCGACTCCAGAGTTTCCTCTCGTCGAAATTGTCATCCTTTTTATAGATTCCGCCTTCTTTCCTCATGGACAGGACGCATACGACCAGGCAATCGTGCTCCTTCAGCTCCTTCGAAGCTGTAACTGCGAAGAGAATCGTAAAATTTTAATATCGTTCCCAATAACACACACGTCTATGTGGTCCGTGGTAGGTATTCCCTTAAATTTCAATCCTCATCTGGATCCCTGTTCACCTTTTTCCGTCTCGGACGATGGCTGAGGTATGGGATAGTCGAAAAGACAAATTTTGCTGCTGCGAATGGTTTTTATAGGCTGGGAACGCCGAGATGGAAAGCAGAAAATATTAAAATTGATTCATGACGGGAATACTGGAAGTAGATGCTTTCTTATATTGTCTATATACTTTACCCAAATAATTACCGAAAATTTGTCAACCTGTTTTCATGACTAAATTTGCATTATGTCGATTGTTCTTAGAGGGAACGAGTCTCGTGCCCTTTATTTCCGTTCCCGTTAATTCCCGTTAATTAATTCCCGTTAATTCCCGAGTCCCGTTAATTCAGTAACTGGTAACCGACTGACGCTAGCTGATCACCTCTCTAGGCCAAAGCAGATCCCACCATACAATGCGCAGGCGCAGTCGAAAGACGCAGTTTACACAACCACACGCCTTAGATAGGAAGGACCATTCTTTCCCCAGCTCTAGCGATACTAAGTTGATCCGCCGTCTTGGCATTAAATCCATTTACTTTGGAATGAACGAATGCGCTCTGGCTTTGTGAGAGTCTGTCCGCGATGAAGATTAGCGAGGCTCAACGAGCTCACAGGAACCATTCTTGTCTTCACTTTCCAAGGAACTTCTTGCACTCCACTACCGACATAAAAAGAACACGCCATAAAAAGGACGTACAATAAAAGCTGAGTTGAAAATTTTCTCTGGCTTTCGTTCATCCCGAGATGCCATCGAATCGTTCCCTTACCCAACCGCTTCACTTCACTATACAATCAGGCGCCTGAACTTACACGCATTTCTGCTTTCATTGCCTGAACATTACGGTTGAGCGAAATCGACCTTTTCGTATGCAAATCGAAACGGCTAGTGAATATCGGTCCGTTAACAAAGGTGGTACGGTTAACCATTGGTCAACCAATGGTCCACGGATTGCCCTTTACCTCTGCAAGACCAGGAATTAATATTTTGATGTTCAAACAAAATCTCATCGAGAGGTGAATAGTAGTGATCGTGATCCAAAATGATTTTTGTGGAAATTTTGCACACGCACTCTCTGAATTTCCTGGCCAAGTATCTTACTTGCATCCAGTTCTTGTTGGATCCCATGATAGGCAAGGTTCTTGTATTCCTTGACCAAGAATCCCCTGTCTCTGAAGACGCGTTTCAGATTATCCACGTCCAAGTGCACGTTCCTGCGAGGCACGTGCATGTGCTTGGTGTCGAATTCTTCGTCGTAAAATATGATGGCCCATCCCCGGAACTGACCGGGTCTCAGGTCCCTCGTCGGGTAGCAGCCCAATTTGTCTGGGATTGAGGGCTCCCATTTCGTCTTGCTGTGGAATGTGCGAGAACAGACTTTTTATCTGCATTATTGCATAATTAAGTGATGGTTATTTTACTTCCAAAAAGGTTCTGAGATTCGTCTGAGGGGGTCTGCAAATCGGGTCTATAATAATTCTGTGATGTAATGGTTTTTCATGTTTTTAAATAAATTCATAAATCGTCCTCAATCATGAAGTATGGTCACTTATTTACCTCTGTATCTGCAATAGTTTCGGAGAAAATAAGTGATAAATGAAGGGCGATTTGCCAAATCTTGTTTTCCCCCACTCGAAATCTGCTGTATCTCCCAAACTGATGAATATAGTATTTCCGAAAGAAGCATCTTGAAAGTGTTCTGTGTACACATATGGACATGAACAGACAGTATTCATTAATGTTTTTTGTGTTCAAATTGAAAGCTGTTTAATTTCTTCCGTTGGGGATTTTTTTTTTCGCTCGGTAAATATGACCTCATGATGCAAATATATTTTCCAAAAATGCATCCAATCATGTATCTCTCGGTGTCATCTGGCATTTATTTCGTTCATACCTTGTCTGATATTAATTGGCTTCTTTTGTCACTTTTCCAAAAACGGGGGGAAAGAATCCTCTTTCTCTCTCAAAAACCGCAAACATCATTTTTTTACAATGATACTAGAAGGCACGGAATTGGGCATGGTGTAAAAATATCCTCCATATTTTCTTAGGTACTTAGTGATTTTTAAACTTGCACATTTTCTGACGATGTTGGGAAGTTCAGAGAACAATATCTACACTTGCCGCATTTGGAATCCCTTGCTCCAAAACTTCATTGAATATGGAATGATACAAAACTCTTCCTAACGATGCAAAGTTCTAGATTGACACTCAATTAGTTCATGAGATAAGACTGTAATTCTAGCAGTAAGATAGTCGATTCACTGGGAATTTGGCGAGTTTGACAGGTCACATTGAGGTTATACAATGCTAGCTTGCAGCCCCCTCCCCTAATCTCCAGCTTTGAAAAACAGGGTTGCCAGAGGCAGTTTTTATTCACAAGAACGGGAGGAATGCTAAATGTGAGCAGGAGTGGTTGGTCTCTCTGGAATAACGCAAGGACGCCGCATCATTTAACTGCTTGCATGAGGAGATTGGAAACACTGGGAGAAAATATATATACTCACTTCTGAAGGGAAGACCCATGTGGCATCCGTGTCAGAATGCCATGTCTTTGACGGTAGGAGTTAATCCGCCGACTAAGACCGGACAGACCCTAAATAACCCATTTCGCATTTCCTTCTACTGCCCATATTTCCAGTGCCTCGAATATGCACTTGAACTCCTCCATTAGTTTGGACAGTTCCACCCGTATAAGGGACCAATATAGCCACTTGCCATTCCAAGCATGCAAACTTCTTATATGCCAATTTAAAGTGTATGTTATGAATAATCAATTGACACGGTCATCTTGATTTTCACCTTCTCCCACTTCCAAATATGAGCAATGGCATATAATATTAATATTCATATTTTCTTGATACAAATACTATTGCTACAAATAGTCGAATCGATATAACCATATACTTCGGTTAACAAGGTCGAACATGCTAATTATCACATGAAAACCATGACGAATCATTTTCACGTGCAATTGGTGGGTATGAATCACTCTCTTGAAAGTGATACATACCGACTACATCTGGCTACCGACTACTTAATCTTTGTTGGGGAGAACTCACCTGTCTTTCCCTTCAGACATATCCAGTCGAGATCCTGCAGTCACTGAAGATGTTGGGACTCTCGCGTCTCTGAGGACAATGCGCGCAGTGGGGAAGCGCGCATTGTCCTCAGAGACGCGAGAGTCCCAACATCTTCAGTGACTGCAGGATCTCGACTGGATATGTCTGAAGGGAAAGACAGGTGAGTTCTCCCCAACAAAGATTAAGTAGTCGGTAGCCAGAAAATTTTAATCGAGAAAAAATTTAAATCACTTTCTTGTTTTCCGTGAAATAAATGGCAATCTCTTAATCTTAAGAAATCCATGTTGCAAAAGTGGAACCCTTTACAAATATAAATTAATTGAAACGGTTCGACGCCAACCACAGATCGGTGCTTCATACTTGCGAATGGCAAATGCAAGCAATGCCCTCGTTCTGCGAGAAAAATCGAGCAGCTACCAAACTCAGCTCAGAGAAAGAAGAACTCAATACAACCTGATTGTGTCAGAGCCGCACTCAGTCTAAAGTCTGCCCCGTTCGCATTTTTATTCATTTTCTTCTTCGTTCTTCTTTGAACATCGGCACCGGCCGGTTCCAAATCTGCCGATGGTACCGATGTGGCCGATAGTCCAACACCGGCGGCCGATACCGGTCTAAGCCGATACATCGGTACGACCCTAACAAAAACGGATCCGTTTAAAGTTAAACGCATCGGGTGCATGTCACCCTGAATCTCCCTGAATCATATTCCATGCCTTTTGGCGGTGCCATCTCATTTCGGAACCGCAGGTAAGGGCACGGGCTGATCGCGACGAAGGGAAGAATGGTGCGAGCCCATCCTCTGCCGACCCTTTCCTCACCTCTATCCCCCCCCCCCCCCTCTTTCCTGAAGGAAGCAAATGGCGGAATACTTGATGATGATGAAAGTTCATTTTCCTACGCGGATGAGAAAGGACAATTTAGCCGAGAATCCAGCCTCCCCTCCCTCCATCGCTCGGCAATCTCCTTCCTCCAGTGCTCATTCCTTCAAACGATGGGAATTGCAGTCCTGGTTAGGTTAGACATCTCGCGGTAGGATCGCTAGTGAAGAGTTCTCGTCACGGAAGAGAGATGTCGCTTCTCTCCGTCCTCCTTCGGGCTCGAGCCTGCATCGAGGATGTCGAGGGAGGAGAACGGGAGGTTTCTTCCTCACCGGCCGCTGTCCGTCGCGAGGTCTCTCCTCCGAGCTTTTCATTTATTGAGGGGATTCCGCTGCCTTCGGACTCCGACGGTCGTCTTCCCATCTCTTTGACTTCCCGAAATCTCTTTAAAATTCGATGAGTCCGCTCCTGTGCGGGGGTGGGGGGTTCTCTGCTTTTAGATTGCATCGTGTGGGAGTGCTTCCATCGTTTCCAGGATTTCGTATCTTCCAGATGGATGCTTTAGGGGATGATTTAATTATTCCCTGGGAGTATGGGTTCCCTCCGTCTCCATCGGCAGGAGAAGTGGAGGGGCGAGTTCGATCTGGGGGAAGTGGAACTTTTTTTTCCCCTCGAGGTTTCTTCTCGGCTGGAGTTGGTCGTTTTTTTTTTGACGAGGTGACGGACTTCGCTTCAGGTGAATCGTCTCCGATGTTTTTCGGGCGTGAAGGGATCAGGGGACCTGGCCATTTTTCTGTTTCACCGGATGGCCGAATATTTTCAGTCGAGTATAAATGGATGAATTTTACAGGTTATGCAGGGTTGAAACTCATTTTGGGCCGACTGATTCGATGATCCTCTCGGGAGAGGGAGTGCCGGATGCCCTCTAATTGGAGAAGAATAATTGTGGCCTCGCACTCTGCGAAAGTCATCGAATTCGCGGTCTTCCAGAGTCATCTAATTCCAGGTCCTCCGCATTCATTCGATTCGAGGCTCTCAATTATTCATTAAATTCTTCGTCCTCCGTATCGAGACCCTCCATAGTCATAGAATTCGGTGCTTCTATCGACCTTGTGTTCGTCCGGCATCCTTGCAACTTCTTCCTTTCTCCCACTCCATCCACCTCCCTGCCATCCACCTCCCTGCCATCCACCTCCCTGCCATCCACCTCCCTGCCATCCACCTCCCTGCCATCCACCTCCCTGCCATCCACCTCCCTGCCATCCACTTCCCTATCATCGACTTCCTCGTGATTGACTCTCCGTGATGGACTTGCGGGTGCCTCTCCTGCCTGCATGATCTCCCGCCCGTGACGCCCGCGCCTTCACTCTCTCGCGCTGCTCCGACTCCAACAGTTTCCGTTCTGCCCGTCGGTTCCTGCTTTCACTAACGGTTTCGCTCGGGAAAGTTAATTCCCCCCCGACGGAAGTGAATCCGATTTCGCATCTCGAATCTCCATTCTCCCTTTTCCGTCGTCGACTTTGAGTCCCGGACTCGCGCACCCGAACGAGCCGTTACATTTGCCCGTCGCTAAAAGCAACCGATAACCCGGATTTCCTCGCGATAATCACGCGTCCATGCACGCTCATTAAAAATAAAAAATAAAAAAAAACATGTGGATTCGCTGTGGATAGTTTGATCCTTCGGATGATTCAACTCTCCGTCCGAGCCAACGGCACACTTCCTTCCAATTTCCTCGTTTCCTGTTTTTGATGACGTCACCCGGCCATCCGGGACTTCCAGTGATCCGATTATTTTCTCCCGGGAGAAGAAGACGGCGTTCGCACTTCTTCATTTCGCTGTGGAGTGAAGGAAATTCCGGTCGATGCGGTAAAAATATTTTTGACAGTTTTCTTTTCGCCTTCCGGAATCGCAGCCCAATTAATTATATTAATTATAGACGACCCCAGGGACTTATCTTTTTCCTTTCCAGGGAGAATTTGAACTTTACTCATTACGTTCTTATCTTATCTGAGACGAAATGCGCAATAAAAAAAAAAACAGGAATTCCCGAACTCGATGCGAGCTACCGTGCAGAGGTTTAACTCCCGCTTTTTCCCTCGGACTGGGCGGTGTCGCTTCAGCGGTTTCAGCGGTTTCAGCGGTTTCAGCGAATTGCTGATGAAACTCCCACTGGATACTGTGATTTGTACGGGGGGGGGGGTTGGGGGGGTGAGGGAAAACTTCCGGACTCCAATTTCCAACATTCAGTTTCCGATCTCAGTCGTTCGACGTCCTTCCGCCTGTCGGCAGTGAAATCTGGAAAGTCGGAGAGAATCTGGTGACGGTTTTCCACAGTATCGGCCCTGTCTGTTGTGGGAAGATGGCGGACGTGCTTTTCATTTCTGTGTCAGAGCCCTGTGGATTCAGGCTGGTGGTGGGAATGCTAGGACCGAGCGCGAGGGGACGAAGGCAGACTTTCGGGTTTTGTTTAAGGCTCTGAGTAGGATAGAACTGTTTCCAGGAAGAGAATTTCGATTTGTTTTCCTCATTGGCCTTCAGGTTGAAAAATCGGAGGGCCCAAGGCCTAGACTGTCCCATCTGTAGGCCCTTCCTTGAAGAAAAATCCAGGATTGGGAGCATGGATTGGTGCTAATACTCGCGAAAGATCTCAAGGCCTATCTTCCAGCCGTACGGAAAGGATCAAGGCCTAGGCCTACGTAGCAAGGCTAGCCTCGCCTAGCCTAAAGTTAAACTCAGGAAGGGCCAAACATGAAGAGGTTTGCAATCGCAACCCTTTTCATCCTTTCACATGTGGTGAGATGAATTTCACAACTCTAGGCTATCCCTTTTGATGTGCACGTGTTGGTCTATGAAATGAATTAGAGGTTAAAGATCTAATCTTGCATTTTTATGTGCAATGAAGGTGAATTTCCACAATTCCTAATGTTTGGAGAAAAACTTTTGATCAGTGAAAACCTTGCTCTCATTTTGTTAGCCTCCATGTGGAAGAAGTCTAGATTTTTGCAATAATCCTCCTGAAAAAAAATTTACTGTGCCTTAGAGGCCTTCCTTATTACATATTGGCCCATAGACATTCCAAGATAGTCATTTCTAGCCTCATTTCATGTCAATCGAGTGTTCGCCTGGGCATAGGCCTACGGTATTACCCTGCACTTTGTCCATGGTAGTTAGCTGAAGTAGTATTTCACTGCAGACGTTGGTTAGGCCTGTCACGTGGCCGATTTGGATTCGAGACCTCGGTCTCACATTGGGACTTCCCATTCTCTCCTAGGCTTGTGGAGGAGAACTGGGCCATCAGTTGGGAGTCGTGTGCTCCCAGTCGAGGAACGTACACATGTCGCACTGCATGGCGTTCTATCCGGACATGAGCAAGATTCGCCCCGACCGTGGCTGCTCGTCGCACCCAGAGGTCTGAAATTTGTCGGCATTCTTAGGCGTGTGGTGTGCCCTCGAAAATAAAATAAGCAACTGCAGGGTCGTTTTTATATAATGAAAATTCCCGAATGTGAACTGTTGGATTTATTATACTTTTTGACTATCTTTCCTTGAACTAGTTTCTTATGTTCTGGTGCAATTATATTTATCTATGGTGAAGAACTGGAGTGACTTTGTCGACCTGAGTTCCTATTCTGGCTGTGATGACTGGCCTGCCCATAATGGAAATAACTCCAACAAGTACATCATTTTCAACTATACTGGAATGTGTCGAGTGCAGGAAATCGCAGAGCGTGTCCAGGTTTGCACTTTGCCTTTCACTTCATAAAATAACCCTTGTTGAAAGTTGTTCAGTCGTGCTGGTTATGATAATCCTTTTAGATAAATAAAGGCCCATTGTGGATTTTAGAGGCTGTCCTGATTTCGATCGCTTTGCATTTTCTAGACCTTGGGCGGAACGGGGTTGATTCTGATGACGACAGGGATGATTCCTGTGATCAGCAAGAACGAGACATTCAGCATTCCTGTCATTGCAGTCACCATCAACACTGTTGACAAGTGGAAGGTCAGTCTCTATTCTCTGGTTTTGTCATTATTCATGTGATTGCAGGATCTTTATTTTTTGCTCTATATCCAGAATCCTAGCAGCATTGTGGATAGGATAGTTTAGACCATAGAATTTAGTATCTTAAACTTGTATCTTATCAGCATGCATTTATGTCCTGTATTTCTTATAGGCCTGCCTATCTTATCTTGAGACATTATTTGGTAAGCCTCCCCGAAGCAAATGCACACATCCATTTTAATGCGCATCTCTTTAGATAGAAGTGTTGTAATGTGTGGCACTTAGAAGAGATAATTTATTTTTCTTCAAGTATTTAGGAACTCTGATTTTTGTCTCCACCAAGAGAGTTGGAAGCTAGTATAGACCTCTAGGGAAAATGTATGTTTATAAAATTTCACTTCTGGCTGGTGATGCACACACTGCTCTTGCTTCTTTATGCAGTCTAACATCCACATGCATCCAGGGATAAGTTTAAGTTGTTTAATCTATGCATGTATCCAAACGCTTGTTCTTGTGTCTCAGTTACTTTTATAGCTATAGATTTTAAGATGTAGCTTGTATCTAGTGGATTCTTTTCAAACATCTTTTGCCCAACATCATTCAGGATGCCCCAGACCCACTGGCAGTGTACCCTTATGACCCGATCATCGAGTCCTCCTTCGACTTCAGCCTCCTTCTGATCTGGATCCTGTCCGTGTCGACCATCGCCGTCGGATCGTACTGGAGCGGCCACACGCGCTACGAGCTGTCGGTCTTTGTCTATTCTGTTCGAATCTGTAAATGGCATGGCAGTGAAATGAATCCCATCCATGGAATAGGATTGAACAAAGGAAGGGGCTGCAACGGGTGGATGGCACGGGGGAGGAAGGACGGGGCGGTGGGTCGGCCCAGAAATCCCAGGACCACCACGAAGAAGTCTCCCTCAACATCTCGGTGGCTGTCATCATCCTCATCGTCATTGCCATGTGTACCATGTTACTTCTCCTCTACTTCTTTCATCATTACCTTGGTGAGTAAAATCTAGAAGATAAGTTCAATGTGTCAGGTTTCGATTGCTCAGATGCAACTGGATTATTTTCATGTCAACTTTTGGTGCATAAGCTTCTAGATTTTCTAATTTAGGTCTACTGGTAGGCAGGTACAGGTATGAGCATTGCAAATGAGAAAGGTTAGCCTGTCGATCATCCCATTGCTTAGACTTATTTATAGAATTCTTTGCAAGATCCCCTTTCAGTTATTCAAAGTCAATCCTTCTCATAAATATGGTAAATCAGGAATTAAACATGTCTGCCCAGGTGTACATTTTATAATCAGGTAGTATTTTTTGTAGCTATAATCTCTCTGAGAGACTGAAAAAAGGATGGTATATAGACATATGTACTTAAAGCATTAGTGGCTAGTTATCAGATTTGCAACCCTGTCCCTTTATCAGCATTGAACTCCTTAAATCATTAAACATTATTTTTTCCTTCATATAAAATGTGCGCACATGATTGCAGTGATGATAAAGCTGTGGTGCATTCTGTTGCAGTTTTGGTGATCACGATCTTATATTGCATCGCATCCTCAACGGCCCTCTACTCCTGTGCCAATTGCCTTCTCCAGAAGATCCCCATTGGCCGCTGCTTGTGAGATCTTCTTGAATCGGTCGTCATGCCGGTGTGTCTTGCTCCGTTTGTGACGTTTGTTCTTTGGGTAGGTGTCCATTCTCGCCCAAGTGTGGACAGTTGGAGGTGCAATGCCAGGTGAGGCAGGTCCTGCTTGCAGGTGCTTCAGTGGCTGCTGCATGCATCTGGTTCGTCTATCGCAAGGAATCCTGGGCCTGGATGCTTCAGGTCTCTATATTTCTTTGCTCTGTTCTTATATTTTAAATGTGCATATGTTTTTTTATGGACTCCAAATATGACATACCAAACTGTCCTTTTAATGGAACTCATTTATCATATAACCAAAATGGGCATAAAACTGCATCCATGGTGTTGGGTAAACTGAGGGATTTGCACATGGAGCCCTATATCACCAACAGTTAATCTAGAAAACAGATGCTCTGAAAATAAAGTACATTCTACCATAAACATGACAATTGTTTGCTTGATTCTTCAGTCTTTTGTCTTTTATGACTCGATATTGATACCAACATTTCTACATTTGTTCTTAACCTTTTCCACTCTAATTTTTTTTCATGTGTTTTCTCCAGTAGCTCGTATTTTTTACCACATAAAACAAAAAAATGAAAAAACGTAATTTTTTCAGGTGCAGCAAGGTGACCCACCTTAGTGAATGAAGAGACTTTTAATCTGGTATACTATACTGCACCAAACGAGTGCAAGAGTCAAAGTACCAATGGGCGAGTATACTCGCCCATTTGAGTGGAAAAGGTTAACTTTGAAGGCTATGATTTTGCCCTGAGTCCGATGTTTCCTTTTGTCCAGATGACATTTTAGACCTGTTCTAACGTAAGAGTCAAGTGCATTATGTCAGGTGCAGTTAGTCTGAATTGCCTGAATGATTGCAGGATGCAATGGGGATCGCATTCTGCCTGAACCTCCTTCGAGTCCTTCGTCTGAGCTCCCTGAAGACCCTGACCATTCTCCTCTGTCTCCTCTTCTTCTATGACATCTTCTTCGTCTTCATCACCCCATACTTCACCAAGGTGAGGTCCTTTCCGTGTCTCCTCGTAAGAATTAGCCTCGCGGGAGTTTGCATTCACAAGGGCCATGAAATTGTGTCCAAGCAGACGGGGCAGAGCGTGATGGAGGAAGTTGTGAAAGGGGGCAGTGGAGACAGTGGGATTGATGGAGCACAGGGAGAATACCTCCCCCTGGTCCTCAAGGTACTTGGGCCTTCATTTCTCGGTCTTGAAGAAGAAATGCACATGAGAAAAACATGGGGGAAATTCAACCTTCATCAAAAATTAGTGGTGTATTTTTTTTGGAATTAAAGAAAGAGAAATTTCAAGTGATATTATATTCATCAAGATTGCTGCATGTAATTTATGAAAAATTAACTGAAAAGAAAGGGCTTAATCCACTCTGAGTGTCAGCTTGTCAACTTTTTGACGTGGAATCTAAGTGTTCCAACTGACGACAATTATTGTATTTGGCCAATTCTCTTCTTTGTTGAGAGGAGATAGATTGATGGGAGCAGTTAAGAAACAGACCTTGTGCAAGCACACAGGGTCCTGCTATGGGAGATCTTTAGCTGCAATCAGTTGTCCTTGCTTACTAAATTATATATTAGTGGAGTCGCTCATTCCTTGTTGAATGTTTCAGTGTTGTGCCATCGAACCCTGTCCTTGAAATCCATTTAGGCCTTGAACAAATGTGTTCTATTGCATTATTTTCTGTCTTTGACATTCAGGCATCAATGGAGCTGTTTTCCTTGTGTGAAGGTTTTCTTTCAGAAATGATGAGAGTGTGTACCTTTCTGTGAACTGAACCAGATAACTTCATTTTGACTATATTTGTATGAAGAAAAATAATGGACATCAATGGTAGTTACTTTGTGATTGAATTAAATATTTGGTACTGAAGCTTTAAGCAATCCATGGCTGATCTATTTGGTTACATATTTTTTTATTTTAGTAATTTTTAAAATTTCCCACATACTAATAACACATGCCAAAGTTAGCTGCAGTTGAAAATTGCTTCTCTTGGAAAAGCTTATGCCTGTTGCAATTTTTTATCTGTTCCATTAGGAAGTAATGAATTCAAGCTCATGGAATTTTTGGTAAGACTCGACTTCATGTGATTGAATTTCAGGTACCCCGGTTTGGAGAGAACCCATTGGCACCTTGCATGCCCTCAAATGACAGTGACTACTCCATCCTGGGCTTTGGGGATGTCCTTGTCCCTGGTCTCCTGGTTGCTTTCTGCTTTGGATTTGATCTCCAGCACAAGACACCCTTCCACATCTACTATGTCACTGGGGTCATAGGTGAGGAAACTACCTTTTTTTTCCTTCCTGAAGTGGTTTTTGAAATTTCATTTCTCTCTGAAATTTCCCAACCAGAGAGAAATGAGGTCTCCCAAGAGAAACTAGTCTATCCGTGAATGGCTACCTGAATTTGGCACTACAGTGCAAAGCTTTTATTACCCAATTGCTTGTATGCTACTGCCAAAAAATTGCCAGTTTTTGAGCTCCACTATCACTAATTATTTAATATTAGCCTCTGTGACAGTGAAACCGTTTTGCTAAGAAAGAAGTATCTATGGCCTCTTTTTTTGTTGAAATCAGACTGGAATCTTACCCTCCTCAGGCCATGTGCAAGCCTTCTCCTTCCTCCCAATCCTAATGTCAACCTAAATTGTTATAATATGAGAAAGTTTGCTTCAATTCCCCCAACCCAACTCGTTCCATTCAGTGGTACAGTGACTGGCTAGGTATAAACTTTAATTCAGGTAGGATTTTCAGGACCTGGAAGATTCATGCATGGTAGTAGGAGTGCTCTGTAAGTTCCTGTGAATATTAACTGGACATGGTGACTCAAATAGTCAATTACCATTCATTGCAGTCAAACTTTCAGAATGTTATTGTGATACACTTCTCCTTATGTAACAACCATTTCTTGAGCATGAATGCAAGTCTCCAATGAGTAATACTTGCTAGAAGCTTCCTTTCTTCCATATTCCAGCTCCTCTGCCATATCTGAAGTGAAATCCAAGAAGTGGTCATGTGGGAGTCTTCTTTTTGTGATCTTCCCTAAGGCAGCAAAGTTTGAGTTCATTTCAGCTGCAGAGCACAGGTCTGGGTGATGGGTAAAGTCTTTGGAGATTGTCTTATGGAGTCAGAATGTGCTCATAGATGCTTGGAAGTCAAGGGATTTATTTCGAGAAGATGCATTGCATTCCATGACACTGCCATGACAATAAATCCTCCATATCTCCCTTATCCTCTTTAACACTTACAGTCTGGAGGATGTGTGATAGGTTACATTTATTGATTTACCAAAAATTTGTAGCTTCAGAACATGAAATTATCTAGACTTGCTCTTTATTGCAAATTAAAGTATAAGTTCTCTACTTTAATGTGTTAACCTATTTCAATATTTTTATAAAAGGACATACTATTATATCTACCATTGTCTGTTGATAGCTAGGACTGGACATACATTTACATCCATTTGATCAAAAGTGTTAATCCCAGTTTACCATGATTCTGGATGATTTTCATCCCATATGCAATAGTTATCCAATATGAGTGGATAATACAGTTCCAGTTTCGAGAAATATTTATGGAATTAAGCAGACAAACCACTTGCAAGGAATTCATGGAGACCATTCTAAACAATGCAGCCAATATGAAGAAAAGAATGTGCTGCAAAGGAAAATGCTTGGATTAAAGAGAAAGCATTTGGAAGCTTGTGTTCTGGATGGGACGTCTGTCTCAACCCTCTATGGACGAACCACATATATAATACGCAGTTTACCGAATCACCTAACCATGAAGGAGAAATGATGTGATGGTGAGAGTGGTCTCATGTTGATTGTCGTGGTCTAAAACCTTGCACAAAAAATATGTGTTAATTGATTAATTAAAAAGTTAATTACTTTATTTCCTCGATGCTACCTTTTTAGTGCTCTCTCTTGGATCGGACTTGGCAGTCTCTTTGATCTCAACGACGCCCTTTACATCTGATTGCTAATTAACAATTATCCATGAGGGAAAGACCATTGAATGGTGCCTGTGACATATCAATCGCAAGCTATTGATGAATAGATTGCGTTGGTGCCTATTTTAGCTGCGAAAGATGATAAAAGAAGTAGTAATTTTAATGTGTAGTCAGGTTGAACCGAGGGCATGATTTGGTGGTGTAATGGTAGTGCACTGGACCAGAAAAACTGGAGGCTTGGGTTCAAGTCCTGGTTGTCCTCTGCATTTTTTTCGTCCAGTCCCGGCAGCCCACCCCTCTCCCCCCCTACCATCGGTCCTCATGACATATGCCCCAAAGAAAAACTCAACTCTCGAACTTTTTCACGCAGCAATTTTGTGTTTTTCCTATATACACTGACTAACAAGCATCAGAGAAAACAGGAAGAAGGCATGTCAAGTGAGCCGCATCCTTCTATGCTTGGCCAAATGAGCGAGAAAGCCAGCCAAATTTGGGGGACGATGGAGCAGTTGGATTAATCGTGGCCAAAGGCCGCAACCCTTTCCTAACCCAACTGACCCATCACTTCCCAAAACAGGTTGACTTTCTCACTCTTTGAGAGTTCTCGATGTCTGTTGAAACGTTGTTACCACCGAAGCGGATCCTGCGGGGCGCTGGTGTGATCTAGTGTAGTGATAATATGTTAGGGGGTTTCTGATGTCATGATATGTGAAATGGTGAATGAAGGGAAAAGTTATGTTCAGCCTGTCTACAAGTGAGACCACATCTTTGGAAAATATTTTGTGTTTGTGGCACTTGAGGAGCTAGTTTTTTTTACAAGGTTTATGTGGTACCATATCATTGTTGCAAGTGTGTCTTCTTTCTCTTTCAAACTGCAGCATACGCCCTCGGACTGATTGTGACGTTCATCGGATTGCTACTGATGGCTTCGGCCCAGCCGGCTCTCCTATACCTTGTCCCCGCCAACCTCACCATGACCATCATCATTTCTCTCTGTCGCAAGGAGTTTCACCTCATGTGGAAAGGAGACCAGGATATTGTGAGTTTCTGTATTCGTCATTCCTTTTCCTTTGACTCTAGCGGAACAAGGTCTCTGAGATATTATTTAGTGCCTATATCAAGAGCCATTGTTTCCTGAAGATAATACTTGTCTTGTACTTTCTCTCTCAGATTGAACTTAGCATGAAAAGTTTTATTATCCTAGATCACAGGTTTTGTAGATGTCCTGTAGCAGTTATTGTCTTTGAGTTTGTTTATTATTGACTAAGTGGTTCCTGATGTACTTGATATTGATTTTTGCAGCTTATAGGGAAGGCTTAATGGGAAATCCTTGTTCTGCCACTTCGTGTATTTGTTTATTCCATTGGAGGCTGCATTTTTCAACTAACTGGGTGTACGCAGATGCTCTAGTTATATTTATTTCAGCCACAATGTGTGAAAAGAGAACGATTTCATCTAAAGTTTTTGACTGTAACTCAAGATATGCCCAGGAAGATTCCTTAGAGCAATGGTTTTCAAACTTTGTAAACATGTGGCCCCCAAGGAGTATTTTTGGGCTTTGCAAGTGTAAGTACTTCTTGCATGTGCCCTCTCGTGCACATGCAGAAGGAGCCACAGATTTTAAAAGCTATCTCCTGTGTATCCTGATTATCCTAACACTTTGCAGGCCCCTTCATGCCCTGCCATGACCCCCTAGGGATTCGTGAACCAACAATTTGAGAACCATTGCCTTAATGAAATCCTTGCCTTGCATCCAAAGGTACAGAATTAATGCTGAACCTGAAATCAGATAATCAAGTTTTGTTGCTTTCTCTTCCTCTCCAGAATGAGGAGGAAAGTGGAGGTGTAAAGCCAGAGGACACTTTGGAGACTCCCATCCCCTATTCCATAGCCTCTTCAGATGATTCCACTCCCCAAGAGATCAAGGACAAGGATAGCCTTCTGAAAGTGGATCACTGGTGAGTCACCGGTGATCCGATACCCTCCTCACAGTGGACCTCTGGTGATCCCAAAGACCGAGAGCGGCGGCCTCGTCGGAATGGGCCGGTAGTCTTCGTCGGTGTGTTCGCTCTCCTCAGCTAGACTACAGTGTATCTTTGCACCAGCCACATCTCTGTTGTCTGCCTGAAGATATCTTGGTCTTTCATCCTGAGAACTGATATTTCTGTTTTTTTTTGCACTTTCTATCATGATTCTGGACCTGGATTTGATTGTTTTTTGTTTCAAGAGAGCTCATCCCTTTCTGCAGTTTTTTGTTTGCAGCTCTATTAAAAAAATTGCTCTCACCGATATTTGCATTTCTGCAGCAGCTCCTGACATGTTTTTTAAATTTCGTTCTCCATGTATTCTGAGTTTAAAATAAGATAATGTTGTTCCCGTGTTTGTAATGGAGCAGATATATTATATGGAATTTCCCCTTTATTACTTGCTTAGGATAAATTTTAAAGGTTTCGGGCAGTGATGATGTGTAGAAAGCATTCAGGGAAGCTCATCAGAGACCACAGGGTTGAGCATTTTAATCTGTTCTGCTTCTCTGCATGGTGCTCTTGCTCACTACAAATATTGGCACAATCTGTTTGTGTGATGCAACTGTGCACTAAGAGTGACAAAAACAAAACACTCCTTTGGCAAAATTGTTTCGTTGGGGTATGTGAGCGCAGCATGTTTTTGCTGTTGAGTGTTTGTAGTTTCTTAAGTCCTTGTCGATTTTTTACATTGTTGGCAAGGCATATGCATTTCTTCTTCATACCACTTAAAATTTAAAAGAATTTCTTGAAATTTTTTGAATTTGTCCTGACCTAGTCAGTTGTCATTGTTATTCCTCTTTCATGTGAACACTGATCTCTGCAGTTAGTTAATGTCCATTTTGAGGGGAAAAAAGCAGCTCGCACTATACCTGTTCTGAGAAAGTTCACAAAGTCTCTTCTGCTTATTTTTCTGTGATGGCTTCACTTTTTTTCTGGGAAACTTGAGACCAATTTTTCTTTTCAAGTTCAAAGTTGAATTTCCTGCATTGTCTCCTGTATGCAATGACAAACACAAAATTTGCTTTAGAGTTGGCACAGCTGCAGAATTATTTGTGGGTGGGATTTGGTGTGTTGGTGTTTGCACTGACAGAGTGGACATTAGGAGCCCCACCCAGTGCTTTCTGTTCTTGTGATCCATCACTATTGATCCTCCATCAAAGCTATTTCTCAATAAATGTAGTTGGATAGTGTCATCGTGTCCTCTCTACTGATAGCTTTTACCCCCCTTCTCTTTGCTTTGCTTCTTTTGATGCTTTTAATTTTTTCATGTAGGGGCATGTCTTTCCATTCATTGACAGCATTAAAAGACTAAAAAATGCACGTTAAATTTATCATGATCACTCAAGAGGTTACGAGACACCTCAACTGTGTTTCGTTAATGCCATCTGTGATTGTGATATTGACTTATTTGAAGTTGCATGTTAGAAGTTTTGATACTAGAGCTCCAAACTAAAATTTCTGGCATCGAGCCTCATGTCCTTGGACATTCATCTTGCAACCGACCGTTTTTCTACTTAGGATTATGCCCTCGGCTCCAACTAGATGTCTCTGGGTGCCATTCTCACACGAGGGAATGACGTGAATTGCCCGAATGTCCACTTGCTCAAGCCTTTCTTCGATGTGAAATTTTGAAATATTTTAGGTCCAGGTGGGGAGAAGTACGGAAGGGAAGTAGCTCAGCCATGACGAAGCTCCGTGGAGCCAACGAGGTGAAACTCAGTGATTTTTTGGAATCACGATTCCTCGTTAATTCCTGCTATGCCCATTCACAAGTTGAGTTCCCGTTACTTGACTTGGTTCCATATGATCCGAAGTCTCTCGTGCCCATTCGCCGCGTAAGGATAAAAAAAAAATCCGTAGTCCCCATATTAACCTTATAATTCCAGAGACGCCTTTCAAGTACTTCATTTTTAGCCCATACCTAACCACGACCCGTGTGCCGCCATCGGTTTCAAGTCCTTCCCTCGACAGCCAGCTGAAGCCACGCATCGAAATCTGCAGCGAACGCACATCCAATCACCACTTTCCAACAGTCATCCACGCTTCATGAATTCCCTCTTCGTCGGGTAAGGAATTTTCACGTTCGTCGCCGTATCATGCTCTTCGTTTCCAGGAATCCATGCCCAGTGAGAGCAAGAGAATCCAGACCCTCAATCAAAGGATGAAAAAGACGAGAGGGAAGAACCGATTTCCCCCGAGAGATTTACAGGATTTTCACTAAAAATAAAATCAAGAAAACTTCAGTTTGTTGTACACGCTATCCGCTCCAATCCAGATTTTTCCGAATCGTTCGGCTGAACCCGTCTCGTTGGGAAGTTGGGATTCATCATTTCTAATCATTTATCAAAATGATTATAAAACCGATTGAAACTTTCTTTTCGCACCAACCAGTTGCAAGAAACAAGTTATTCATTGTGCCCCAACGAAAATCAATAATCAATAATAGCCTCCATTTTAATGGCCTTTTAATTAAGGTTTCGAATGCAAAGCGACGCACAGCGCTTTAAAATTAAGCTCGAACAGATTCGCCGTTTCCCCGATATCGATCAATTGCCCGAGACGTTAAATTGCCCATGTCGTCCAGAAACATAAGCGGATTCGAACCAATTAAAAAAAGGTCGTGAAGTGCGAACCACTCCAGATCGAGTGGAATCATTGCTCGCATTACGGCGATCCTCATTTCGGACGAGAAAATTGTCTTGAGGAACGCCTGCGAATTCGGTCCCTCATATCGTCCTCAGGATGAGGAAATGGAGAGTCGACCCCATAGATATTTTCCACGTTCTAATACTCCTTTCGGGTGGAGTGAGACAGTTTCTTTTAATAATTATTTTGGTGAATGAACTACAGGCATAAAGGAATGATGAAGCCCAATTGGCCGGACGGGCCTGATAAGCAAGTAGTGTCAAGTGTTACAATGACTGAAGAACTAGGCATTACGACGGAAATGGCGACCGGTGTTAATATTGGCACAGCATTCAGAAAGCCTTGGGGGCATATTTTTGTGAGCCGACGTTTTCAAGTATTTTTTTGTCCTAGCGAATTGAACGAATGTGCATAGATGAAACTTGGTGCAACACTACCTACTGGGATGCTTGCAGAAAACTTCAGACTTCAGAAGTAAATGCACTGGGTACACAAATTTCAAAAGGAGATGTTTTCGAATAATTTTTTGTATCAGTTAAACTGATGAACATGGAAAGCTGAAACTTTGCATGAATGCGACAACTGACACAAGGAGTTAAATAACAATGTTAAGTTTCGATACATCCCATGGGGGAATTTTTTCGAGGCTTTGAAAAAAAAAATTGTCGTGGCGAATTGGACAGAAATGGAAAGGTGAAACTTCGCAATCGTATAAGTGACATTATATTACTGAGCTGAAGGAGTATTCAGCCTTCATAGTGCATCCCCTCCGGGCATAGCGTTAGGGTGGGTCGTCTTCATCAAAAGTGTTTTTCCACCAGCGAAAAGGGCAAACATATATTATTGAAATGTTGTGGGCATGTAGCTCACCGAGGATGGATTTCGACAAGAAAAAAATGGTACGTTTCGATTAAAACGGCTCAGAGCATATATTTTGCAAAAGGCTTATTTTCACGAATTTTCTGATCCAGCAAAACAGAGGCTGCATGAAAGTTAAAAAACTTGGCAAATAAGATCCTAATGGATAGCTGCGTAAAGAAAAAATTCTACTTTTCTAATATATATAGACCATCGTAACTGACTGACGCTAACTGAAAAAGGGGAAATGTATAAGGCTGAAACCGGGCGGCATGGAGTTCCCTGAGTCTCCATTCCAGAAGGAAAAAAATTTTTCCCTAAAACCCATCAGGGGTCTATTTTTTAAGTCCCATTTTCCTGAATTTTTTTTTTGATATAACGAAACAGAAACAGAAAATGTTAACTTCTCTCAGAAGTACCTATTTAATGACCGAGTACATGAAAAATCCTACTTTTGAAATGTGTCCCCATAGCGTAGATTATGAGAGGGAAGTATTTAAAAATGTATTCCCCACCCTTACTAAAAGGAACACAAGAAAATATTTAAAATTAGGCACACATAGTCATCATAGAAGTGAAGTATTTGATAAAAATGAAGACGTTTCCCCTTTTTGAATGAGCGTTAGTCAATCACGATCGTCTATATATATTAGAAAAGTAGAATTTTTTCTTTACGTAGCTATCCATCAGGTACTTATTTGCCAAGTTTTTTAACTTTCAACCCAAAATGTCACGTATTTCAATGGGGACGGACTCTAAATACATGTTTCTCATTTCGCAACGAAATGAAAGAATTAATCACTATCCAAGGTAATGGAGCGCTGAAGGCGCGACCATAGCGAGTTTTAAATACTCATATCATGCTCGTGCTGTGCAGCTGTGGGCTGCTGAAACTGCTCTCTAAAATATGTCTTAAATTCCGGGCCCATTTCATACACAATGAGCAAAGCGTTCAGCTGACTTAGCGAAATGAATGAAGATTTGAATGAGCGTTAGTCAATCACGATCGTCTATATATATTAGAAAAGTAGAATTTTTTCTTTACGTAGCTATCCATCAGGTACTTATTTGCCAAGTTTTTTAACTTTCAACCCAAAATGTCACGTACTTCAATGGGGACGGACTTTAAATACGTGTTTCTCATTTCGCAACGAAATGAAAGAATTAATTCTCATATCATGCTCGTGCTGTGCAGCTGTGGGCTGCTGAAACTGCTCTCTAAAATATGTCTTAAATTCCGGGCCCATTTCATACACAATGAGCAAAGCGTTCAGCTGACTTAGCGAAATGAATGAAGAAAAAACGAGGAGTCGATGGTCCCGCGACTTGNCTCATATCATGCTCGTGCTGTGCAGCTGTGGGCTGCTGAAACTGCTCTCTAAAATATGTCTTAAATTCCGGGCCCATTTCATACACAATGAGCAAAGCGTTCAGCTGACTTAGCGAAATGAATGAAGAAAAAACGAGGAGTCGATGGTCCCGCGACTTGCCCCGATTCACCTTTCTCAGGCCAAACAGAAACGGTGAAACGGCCATCGGCCTAAATTTCTTAGTAATTTAAATATTGAATCTTCATTTCAATTGAGGATTTAAGTGCAGCATTTGCGAGGTAAATGAAATGATCAGGACGAAAGGAAGAAGACCATGCAGAGTTTATGCTAGATGATAATGCCGAGTTCAATGGATTCTTCCTCGTCCGATCTGACTAACACCATGGCGAACAGTTTGGCGTCATTCAATATCAGAAGCTAATTAAGAATCATTTCACAAAGTGGGGGAAATTCACCGTAGTGCAAAGGAAAACGGCACAGAGTGCTTTGAAGAGACAGAGAGACGAAAGGGAAGGAATTCGTTGGCCAACGGACTCGTAATCGCAAGGGGGAAGGTGGGAAGGACGCTGGAAGTAGGGGAGATGGATATCTGCATGGGAAGGGGGAGTGCCAAGGTCGACCACTGCAACGAAGGGGGAAAGGGAGGGTATAAAAGCTGAGACTCGTAATCGCAAGGGGGAAGGTGGGAAGGACGCTGGAAGTAGGGGAGATGGATATCTGCATGGGAAGGGGGAGTGCCAAGGTCGACCACTGCAACGAAGGGGGAAAGGGAGGGTATAAAAGCTGCACCCAGCGAAAATCATGAGTAGTCCCGATGTGGTCTCATTCATCACTAGTGGCTGGTGACTCGATCGCGACCGAAGGTGAGTCTTGTTCATTGTCTTAACATGATGCCTATTTCATTGTAAATGTTCAGAGAATGTTTTGGGTTTGAGGGATTGTGCCGAATTTCCGACGTTTATAATTACACAGGGTAGTTAAATGTTCCCAGGAAGAAGGGAGGTGACGCGAACCATTTTCTTGGAGGATCTCTAGTGCCCCCAATGGAAGCGCCATCTCTGGAGGCGATGACGAACTGAGGACCCTGTCGCCGGCTGCATCTCCCGGAGGAATCGGGAACCTACCACATGTGCCGTTAACATCATCCTAGTGGAGAGGGAACTCCTCCTCTCATAGTGACGCCATGGATGGAGATCGGAGCATGTTGGTTTCAACCTTTCGTCCAGCATGCAATTTCAACATCCAACAGCTGTACACCACGAGTATGATATTATTAGGAATATTTAAATGACAAATCCCGTTCAAAAGAAATCTTCTAATGTAATTTTATAAAGGCAAGGACTCCGTGTTCAACTTTTCCATCCATGCAGTCCTTTCACCCTAACTCAGGATCTGTCTTACCCATTTCCTCCCCAGTCCTTACCCATGTTATACCATGGAGTCATCTCTCACAGGAGTCTCGCAGGAGTGTCTTGAATCTCCCCATATGTTTCGCCGAGCCTCCTCGTAGCAGTCAATAACTTTTCCGCTCCCGCCGCAACTTCTTCCTTCTTAAGGACATCAAACGTTTCGAGAATGTCGTTTTTCGTGTCGAGGCGACGGTCGCCATCCATGAATTATTAGAAAGATTTCTTGCGAAGAATCAAGTTGAACGCTGAACTCAGAAGTTCGGTCTTTTTTGACGCAGTTGTAGAAACGTGAACATTTCCACAAGGAACGCGCAGAGTGTAATAGCAACCAGAAATACAATTTTGACTCCTACCACAAATTGATATTCAGGAAACTCGAAAGGGTGACCACTTCATGTCGATGGTTAAGGAGAGGAAACCTCGTCTGTTTTGCCTTTTAATGCTCTAGGCGAGGAATATTTAGAGCGAAGGAAGTTGAGGTTGAAAACGAGTCCTACAATGGCTGAAGTTTAAAAGCCGTTTGGGGAAGACCGTAACGTCTTTGAAGTCGTATTTATTTCATTACTTCGAGGTACCAGAAGTTCCTTGGGATCCAGGCGCTGAGATTCGAAACGAAAGGAATTCGGCTCCCTTAGACTCCACTCTCTCTTCCCCACACTCCATTGAATGAATGTATTTCTTAGTTTTGAATACGGACAGCGAGGCTAATACTTGCGAAAAGGCTCGAAAAGGCCCACAAGGTCCACGAGATGTCCTCAACCACTCCTGGCGTCCTTGCTCCGTACGTCGCNTTCACGGGACTCCATGATTATATCTGGAAGTTGGG